GTTACACTGTTGTAATATTAATCACATATGTTCGCTAGTAATTTTTGGTGCTTCATACAAGTAAACAGAGATAGCTACACGGTGGAGCTGACTGAGGAGGACGGAGTTTGATACATTTATTTATGCAAATATATATAAATGTAGAAATATACATGAATAGCAATAACCTGACAGACAAAAACAACAACTAAAATATTTTATTACAAACAAAGAGATGTGTATAATATACCTTGAAGTTGTTCTTTTTCCCTTAATCCCAGAGTATGGTCTGTTCTGAGCTGTGGGCACCGAAGCACATTTCTTCTTGTTTGCTAGCTAAAAAATTTTTTCAGAAAGTAGTGATTTTTTAAAAAAAAATAGTTAGGTATTATATTTTTTCTAGTGTTTTTTGTGTTGTGTTTTTTTTTCTTTTTCATATATTCAGATTTAAGGATACTTTGCAATGTATGTTTTTCAAACTCTTAAAAGCATAATTTTTCAGTTTTATTTGCACTCATCTTTATCTTGCAGCGTTGATGTCCATATGCCTGAATTATAATACATCCAATAGTCATTTGATTGTGGAAGTTTTTGCATACATGCTCATAATAAACTCATACACAAGCAAGGCTCTCAGTGATTATCAAAGTATTAACTACTGGACTGTCAACAGAGTGCATTTCTTTGAAAAATGCTTACCATACCTTCAAAAACATGGTATTTTTATGCATTAGTTTAATCTTATACATTCCCTGTAGAAGGAAGATTAACAATATTTTTCTTATTTTCACCCACATAAATATTCTTCCAAAAAGTCGGGGGGGTTTCTACTGATAAATAACTGAAGACAGGATTTTGGAAGCTTTAGCCCACCTCCTAAAAGATTCAGTGTAATCGGAATTGGAGACTAGGAAGTTTGTTCCTAATCTCAGTCTCCTTTTTCCATTATATTTTCCTTCCTGTATTCAGTTATTTTGACTACTTGTTTATTATTACATCTAGAAGACAGTAGCACTGCCTCTAGTATTATACTGGTGGGGGAGGGAAGAAAGGAAGAAATTAATTATGTTCTAGTATTTTGCACTTGGAGTTCTTAATTTGCTGTTCAAAACACTGAACACTTCTGTCAATGATTTACAGACTACAGAGGAAACTTAGAACCCAAAAATTAAACATGATGTAAGTCCACTTAACCACCAGTGGCACTGAGAAACCCTAGTAACACTCCCTATAGCACTGCTTTGAACATCACTTCCTTTTGGCTTCCCACCCATGTTAGTCCCTAGCACAGCCTCAAAAACAGAAGTGGAAATTATACTAGAAGATAAATTAACCAGGATAGTTTTGACTTTGATACCTTGGCATACGAGTGTGTAAGAGATGAAGCTTCAGGACAGAGTGGATCTCTGCAGAAAAAAAATTTAAAAAATAAAAATTCACAGAATATGTACAACAAAATAAACATTTTACAATAAAAATTCAATCCCCCTGTCAGAATCAGGACAATAACATTTGATATGTCTAGAATAAACAACATAGCTATGCTGGGAATACATATTAAGTTCAACCATAAATTCAGTCTCATTCTCTGTCTTTCCATTCTACCCCATTTGCTATGTAAATCGCTTGTTAAGTCTAGGGTGTATAATACCAGAGTTTACTTATGTACCAGAATCTGAATCTCATCTCTTGCAATTCAGGCAACTGCTGCACCTACTGGCTTATTAGATCAATGATTCCCTGTACCAGGGAGTACTTAGCCAGTATGTGGAGTGTTACCAGCTTCAACAAGAGAGATTGACAATCCTTTACCAAAGATCACCAACAGCTCAGTGATTGATATGTCTACCTGACACACAAATCCCTGAATCCCAAGAAAATGAAGATATAAACCAGTGTCCTCCACATCCTAAGAGGGAGTGCAATTGTATGCTCAGATTGACTGTTGTCAAGTCAATTGACAGGCACTATCAAGTGAATATGAAGTAGGAGCAATTTATAAATTAAGCCTCAGAATTTTCTCTGAAATACCTATTACAAATATTTTATCAATTTTACAAATGAAAAAAAAAAAAGGAACAAAAAAGCAGCTTGCTTATCTGCTTATTTGGCTGAAAACCACACTTCTTACTACTGAACTTCAGATTAAATGATTATTTTTAAAATCTGCTGGAAACAAGCACAAAAGTTTTAGCATGCTGTGTATAATTCAGGTCAAGTTTGTTGTCATATATATAACTTTTTGCTTTCAGAATGAGTTATGTTAATCTGTGTTGCTACACTGAAAGGTTACTTTTTTACTACCCTTTATCATTTTTTACTTCAATTAAAATGCTGGCTTATAAAAGATTTGGAATAAAACTTAAATTTCAGGCACATCAAGTCACCTCAATTTTTTTACCCAGCTGATTTGAGCAAATCTTGCATTTAAAAATTTCACAGACATCCATTCATCAACAAGAATTATCTGCACAAAGCTCCAGATTTTATTAATCCAAAAAAAAACCTGGAGAAATCGTCTGTGTGTGGTTGGCAACAGACTTCAAGAATAGGATGATTAGGTTTTGTCTATTTACCCTATTTTCCTCATGCTTCCTTCCTATTGGCTAGCTTTAGGAGCATGCAGAAAGTGAGGATTTGCTGCCACAGAAATAGCAGTTATATGTTATTCTGAAAAATATGAAAATACAACCACTCTCTATATTCAAGAAAACGATAATGTTGTTTGCCATCAATAGGCTAACATCTTCCTACTATATCTGTTGTCTCAGGGCCTTATTTTTAAAACAAACACACACCCCCACCCTTTAATTAAATTCCTCAAACTTGTTTAACCTTAATGGTTTCTTGCCTCTTCCCCATACATGACAACCCATGTTTAAAACCTCATAATACAGTTCTATAGTTGTTTGGTAAGTGAAATTAATGTGTAAATCCCAAAAAGGTATACAAATAAGTAGCTAGAGGATTGAGGCAACACTGCAACAGAAGCTAATGTTTAACAATCCCATCTCTGCATGTAAACACGAGATGCATGTGCATGAGCAAACCCTTTGTGTTCGCTAATCCTATTCAAAGCCTATAGCATGCTTGCCCATGCGCGTACGGTTCCCATCGCCATAAGCCTGGCAATGCTCTGAAGAGTGAAAGTGTAAACAAAAGCTGATTTCAATGTGGTGTCACTGGAGCTGCTTTGTCTCTATGTAATTCAAGTTTCTCTGCAAAAATTATGCTATAAAAACTCCAGAACAACTTATTTTAAAATATACACTGACTTGGAGAGTGACTTAACTATTTGTTGCCTATTTTTTTTTTTTGCTTACTCATTTTTTTTCTCAGAACCTCCTCCCCCGCCCCCTTCTTTGCTTCAAGTTCTCCCCCTCTTTCCAGTTGTTTTAGTGTTCATTATCCTTAAAGGAATCACTGGAACTGGTTTCAAAAATATCTCAAGTGCTTCCTTTAGATTTATGGCCTATCTGCTTGCAAAATTTTGAAAGAAAAATTTCTTTAAGTATTAAATAATTGGAACTAATCTAACTGAATGGCCTCAATGTTCACTCATGGATAATAAGTGTGCCTAATTCCTAGCACACAATTCTAATTTTTTCACTACAGCATGGGATTTAAATTCTTCATTCCCATAAATGTTTACCAGAACAGAGACTGTGGTTGTTTTAAGATGTTTCAATTTATGTAAGTAATTGATAGATCAGATGCTACTCTGACAAGCTAATTGCCAAGTTTTGTTTTTTTTTTTTTAAATTCTTCCCACAATCCCACTTATTTCAAATGTATACCATCAAAACTGTTAACTCCCTTTGTGGGGTTGAATGCTCCAATCACATTACTTCATAAAACAGTCCTGTAACTCAACTCCAGTTTGAAGTTCTTAACAAATCTTCTGCCTACTGTTCAAAATCCATCTAACAGAACATACAACTAAAGCAAGATCCAGAACTTGTTTGCAAAGCATGATTATATTGATAACATGAGTTGGTTTTGTAGTTTGGTTTTTTTTTCCCTCTACAACTGATAGATATGGCTTTAAAATAGCTCAGGGATAATTTTAACTGTAGCAGCAAACTTTTGCTGGTATAGCCAGGCTTCTGTCACAGATTTGCTGTCACACCTTTTTGTGTACTGAAAAACCTTTTTACATACCTAAGACCCGTCACTTTTTGTATTTACTTTTGTGAAGAGTAAAAAATTTTATCACCTCTAGCAGCCTTTCATATATACTATTTCAAAACAGTTTTCTCACTGCAGCCTAACATTTGAAGCACCTTGTAGTGTGGCCCTGTACCTTTGTTATCCAGATTATAAATTTAGGAACCTACCAGATCAGATCTTTGATAAACTGCGTATTAGTACCTTTGTTATCCAGATTATAAATTTAGGAACCTACCAGATCAGATCTTTGATAAACTGCGTATTAGTCTATCTTAAATTCACCCACTTCCTGTACCACCAATATACAACCCCCTGAACAACCAAGTAAATAATAACGCCCCTGAACAACTAAGTAAATACAGCTATGTATCCACTCTAGAGCCAAAGGGTTTGAACATACAGGCCAAACCCTACAGCTGTACGTATGTTCGTACAGGCCAAAGGCATGTCGACCTCTGAAGTGTAATGATACCCAAGTTCCAGGGGGTGGCAGCTGAATGTTTGTCTGTCTTAGGTTTTTGTGTTTGGGTTTTTTTTTTTTGCAAGCACTTCCTGTCTCAGGAACACTTAGGCCAACTTAAATGTGAACCAGTATCTATTTCTTCACTTTGTCAGCTGAACTGGTTAAAAACCATCTACTGCTGAGTGTCTACTGTTTTGTACTGCAAAGAAATCTGTTACCTTACCTTGCTTTTTTAGAGATCTCAGTAGTTCTCAGTATCCTAGATAGAACATTTCAGCAAAATTAAGACTTCCTTGAAATAACAAGGAACAACACTCATTTAGTATCGACTGTTTCAAATAATAGGAAAAAACTTAGCCTTCACCAATCCAGTATGCTGCAAAGACAGATAAAACAGTAGCCTGACTAGGGCGCGAGTCAAGCTGTGCATGATCAGCATGAAAGATACTCCACAAGTTATATGCAGCAGTTGTAAAGCACATACCTCTGTCTGTCATCTTCACATGACTTAGTCTTTACTGAAACTGGTCTGCATAGTATCTCCCGTTGGCCTTTCTTTATTTAAAAAAAAAAAAAAAAAGTAGTCAAATTTGGGGAATATAATCCATCAAAAATGAATTACACATTTGTAAATCACAGATAAGAGCAACTATAGCCCACTATGAAAAAGAATGGAAACTATAGTCTGCTGTGGAAAATAACTTCTCAAACACAGGAAAAGATGGCTAAAAACTAAAATGCCATTGCTATCCCCCAACATGTATTTCTGCTCCACAACATGTAATTGACTTTTGCGCGTAAAACTTTTGCTCAGCTTAACTTCATCAGAGGTGCTCTTACCCTCCCTCTTTCTTTTCTGAAATACAGGAGTAGCAATTCACAGCAGGTGGAACAAATTTTAAATTTTCCATATTGCGCAATAAACCTTAAAAGGAAATCTTTATTCATGCAATACAACCGTAATTGCACACTGATATGTTGTATGTACTTTAGAGAACAATTCACTCTGCATGTTCAGACAGCTTCTATGTTGCTAAGTTACAGTTAGAAAGCATAATCTAGAACAAAATGCAGTTGTCCCATCTGGAGTTCTTTTTGTTTGTTTGTTTTTTTAAAACTTGGACTGTTTTTCTTTTGTTGTTAAACGTATATCTGTGCAATCTGGCAGTGCTATGTGGTATATTAAGTGTCCTAAGAATATTTGATCTGCTGTATTTAGAGAAGGAGTGTGTGTGTGGGGGGGAAGTAGTTTTGTTGTTGCTGGTTTTTAAAGGAAAGAGACTAGATGCTATTTTGGACACTTCATCTGCTTCTGTTCAAATGCCAAGCAGTTAGCCTCAGCTTACCACAGCTCACGAGAAGAATATGTTTTCACAGGACATAAAAATGAAGCTTCAATAATAGGAGAAGTGCATACAAGTATTGCTTTCCAGAAGACTTAATACTTTGCTTTTTATGCCTTATTTATTTGAGTGAGTGCACTTAGAATTAATATATCCGATACGCAGAACACCTTCTCCAGTTTTGGGTATAAACCATACCTCCCCAGTTTCTTTTAATTTATCCAATTTTCATCCAAAAACTTGACTCTATCTGCTACACAGCCACAGCAATGTTAAAAGATAACACTGACGATAAACAGGAAATTTTTCTGTTTTAAGAAAGTTTCTTTCTTACTAACTACATATTTTCTATTTATGTTGCTTATTCTTTGGGGTTTTTTTCAGCTTGAACAATGTAGATCCTGTTTTACTGGGATCTTATTGCAACAGTATCTGGTTTTCAAATACTAATTGTTTTTAGTATTTAAGACACAAACCCACCTACAGATACTTTTCTTAAACATCATAAACAAGTTTTTTTATGTGGCTTCATCTGCACAAATGTTCTACGCATCTATGTGAACATCTACCTACCTGATGAAATTATATAAAAACTATTTTTAAATGTGTTTTTGGTAGAAGTTTACAATTGTGAGGGAAAAAAAGAAATTAAAAGCTTAGATTGCACTTGAAACCAAAATACTTCTAGTTATCATGGTGTAATTTCTTTTGAAACTTGACCCTGTGTGCATGTGAATCAAGATTAAATTACCTAAGTCCACATAACCTACTCACCATTACTTCTTCGGCCTGACGCACCAGTTTTGCTGTTTTTGCTTCTAATTCTGCATTCAGTTGCCTGAAAGAGTAAGAATGCTTGCCACTGAGTTTTTGAAAGATTTAAAAGAAATAAATGTAAGCATGACAGTAACTCTGCCTGAACTAAGTGAAATTTTAATAACTCCTAGAAAGGAACACCACCATATACTTCAGGGTACTAACAAAGTTACATTTCAACAATTTCCTGGGTTTCTGTCAAATCAATAGCAATAAAACACCTATATCCATTAAACAGTAAGGTTTAGACTATAATTCTAAGAGGTAAAGGGCGTTCTTGGTTTTGGCCATGTCATTGCTTAATACACATTTTATGTCTTCATTTCCTCAACGCTTTCTGTTTTTAACACAATCCTTACCTTAGGTATACTTAGCAGCAGGGGTTGGGGAAGGAGTCATGCACAATTACATTACTTGATCATGTAATTAAAATGTGTCGCTAAACATATGCACAGGTTAAAACAACCTTGTGTTTCTTCATGCTTCACTTTATAGCTGTTCACACAGTGACTACACGAGTTCCTCAGACATGGCTGCTGGTACACCCTCACCACACAGGGGCTGAGAGCCGGCAGGTAACAGCGAGAGCTTTTACATGTGCTTTCACTCCATTTCTCACAAGCTTAAAAGCTTTTAACCTTTTTTTAACAGCCTTAAGCACTTATATATTCGTAATGTTAAAGAAGCGTCAATGTTTTAAACGCAGAAAATTCTAATGCCTGATGCTGTGGGACTGAGGCGCGGCCTGGAGCAGCGCACAGCCCACCCTGAGGCGCCCGTGTAAAACCGCCGTACCGCGGCGGGGAAAAGTTAAAACGTCGCTTTTGGTACTCTCATCCGTACGCTTTGGGGGAACGAGTTGAGGCACTCGGACAGAGGGAATAATAGCTGTAACCTCCGCTGGGGCGGGCAGCGGGACAAGGCTGCGGTGACAGGGCCCGGCCGCCGCCGCCGCCCCCGGCCGCCTCCTTACTTGTACTCCGCCTCCTTGGCCAGCAAGTCGCTGCTCACCACGCCGGTCCCCGCGGCGGCGAACGGCACC